TCATTAAATTTTAGGATCAAGTATTGCAGAACGACAAAATCCTTAGATTGTTTTACACAAACAATACTGTTCTCATGGGAAAAAAACTTAATGAATGTCTATGAAAAAAAAATGGTATTTTACCATAAGCTATTATTTTTTGTGGTTAAATTACATATTTTTTAGATGAAGTTATAATTGATCGAAGGATGTTCATGTTGCGATCGATCATAAACATCTCTTGACCAGTTGTAACTCCACCTTTAAAAAACGTAATTTTACTTTTAAAAGTTATAAATTCTATGATCATTGTAATTTTTACATCGAAAAATTATAACTTTCAACACTATACTGACGTCGGCAGTATAGACTTTCCCAAAACCTTGAGCAATATGGTTTTCATTCCAGCAGGAAAAAATCTACCCTTCGTGAGTGGTTTTGATCCATTGAACCATACTAGATTCAAATTGATGCAGTCCTATGACAAGATGGACTTTGTCCAATAAAGCAGTAAATAATGGATAAGAATTGAAGTTTTATTCAGTCTGGCAAAGCTTTTTTTTTAACTACTTTTGTTTCATTGAAAAAAAATCAATTTTATCGAATAATAAAAATATTTTAATAACTATTTTGCAAAAAACACTTAAATAAAAAAGTACATTTAAATATTATTTTGGGATTGTATGTTTTTCTCTTTTTGTGCAATAGGGGAGGAAATAATTTTGTCGGCATTCTGCAAACTCAATTTTAGCTCCTGCGCCACAAGAACTCAAAGACATTTAGACTTGTAAGAGTCCTCCCACACCCCGACGAGGTTAGCTAGTGTTGTTCGATTTACGGGAACTCTCGTTATTTTTATTGGCAATTATGTTGTACGGGAGTTAGACTATTGTTCGAATAAACCTTTGCAATTTTTGGAGTACCGTCTAGGCCTCACTAGCAGTGGACTATCATTGTGGGTTTGAACTGGTCAGGGACGGAGCGATGCAATGGCCTTGTACTTTCTAATACGGGGGTGTCAATTTTATTCATTAACACAAACTCGATTCGAACTCTATCTGACACAAAATTCAAAAATAAGACGATTCGAACCCTATCTGCCACAAAATTCGAAAATAATACGGTTAATTGGCACGAGTAACAAAATGATAAAATTAAGTGGTTGGTATTTTAGCACAGATATTAAGTACCACTTTGATAAACGAGTGACAGACACACACTTGTTATTATCAAGTATTTTAGCCTATACTAATTTTTGATTATATTGAATATATTCTTTGATTGATATGATTTTATAAACTGTACAAATAATTCTCAAGATTGATATGAATTAATGTATATAATGCTTGGCCCACCCAAGGACAAAACCTTAGATTCATCCCTGGCTATAGTCACGCCCAGACAATAATTTTATTTTTTAACGTTAAAAAAAATAATAACAAAGCACTAAACACAATACTTAAAAAAAAACGTTATCTAATGTTCTATTAATTTCTCATGAGATCCGTATGAAAAATATATAAAAACAAATGTTATCATTAAATTTTAGGATCAAGTATTGCAGAACGACAAAATCCTTGGACTCGGAGAACTATGGAGTGGAGGGGTGTGGGGTTTTAGAAATGATTTGCATTAGATATTGGGTTTGGATCATGGACTCAAACTAAGGCATTTATGATGGGTTGATCCAATTATAATGTCCATGGAACATGATTTTTTGGAGGAGTTCTGTCCCACCTAAAAGACGTGTCTATTAAACTACTGCGAACATGTTCGACATCTATTTGCTTACATAAAAGAAAATACAATACATTGTGTTGACTCATTTTCGCCTACATCATCTTCCGCTAACCCATGTGCAGGCCTAGAGTCCCATTCCCAATTTTCATCCTCTAAAAAAAAGTTGTGTAGAGTTTTTATATTTTATTATTTTTAATCAATAATTATAAAATCATATGAGATGTCTCATTAATATGAAATGAAATTAAAGGGTTTTGGTTTTTTTTAAACCGCTCGTTTCATAAATGAGTAGATCTGATACGACACGATTAATAAACAAATTTGGAATGAGTGAATTTAATAAGAAAAATATACGACTTATTTATATACCGGTTATATATGATTCATACAAGATATGAATCCGATATAATACGACTAGTTAAACATGAGTAAATAAACGAATCGAGTATAGGTGAAATATTTTTTGACAAGAATTCGTCTCACTTGACACAATTGACAAACTTAATTGTAACTACTACCTTATCCAAATAAACTATTTTTAGGTCTTTTTAGTGGAAGAGTAAGGAGTTATTTGTTTACATGTTTGGTTATAAATTTTTGTGGGGTGCATTCATTTATTTGTCTTAATATTATTGGTTGGTGATATTGATAATTTATGTGCAAGTATACACGATCAATAAATAATAAAGTGATAAGTAGAGTATTGTTACCACTTACTAATAATTTTTAAGTATTAACTTTATATCAATTTAATTTTATTTAAACAATTGAAATTAAACTATGAAATTACTAATTTGAAAATAAATCTCAAATTACTAAACAAAGACTGATTTCACCAGATTAAAGAACTTAAGATTATAACATCACCTAATGCTTTGTATAAATCTTTTTCACTCTTTTTTTAGTTAATTAATCAAAAAAAGTTGTTAGCTGATAATTCAAAAGTATTTATTAAACCTTTTTCAATGGTTAGATAAAAATATTTCTCCCAATTAAATCACTATATTCTTATGTAAAATAAATTTGAACAGATTCATTAAGCTCAAAATCTCATAAAAGTTACAGACGGTATACAGGTATATTCCTTCCTATACACAAATTCAGCTATTCAATCCTAAGAATAAATAACTAAACGCATGTTATCATATTCAGATCTAAACCTTTGAATTCATCTTCCAATTTCATCTAAGAAATCAAATTAATTGATGGTCAAAACAATCATATAGTAAGCACAAAATATGATAAACAACTTATGTATGATCGATGATAACTGAAAACGAGAGTAAATTAATTCAACTAAACATCAGTTTCTATTGCAATCTTAATAAAAATTTAGTTCACAACATAATTGAAAAACATCATCCTCAAATTAATCAACATCTCAAAAAATCAAAAACTAAAAGTAAGAGAAAAGAATAAAAACTATGTTGCAATCTTCAATCTCTCTCTAGTCTTCAATTTCAATCTTCTTCGCTTTGCTTCCTTTGATCCTTGCCTTTAATTCACTATCAATCCTTGGTTCTCTCTACGTGTATATATATATATATATATATATATATATATAAACCCTAACGTGTGTAGCGTCAGTGTTCAATTTCTACTCAAAAATAAGTCAGAATTCGCCTTCTACGTTGAAACCCACGCTGCAGCCCCACAAACTTGAAAATTTGTCAAATGAGGGAGGAAAATACTATAGAGCTTCCTGTCAAGTGTCTAGTACTACTTTATTTTACCTCTTTTGCAACCAAATAACGATTTGGTAGAAAAAGAATATAGGCCACATGAAGAAAATTTAGAATTTAAAAAGAGCAAAGTCATGAATGAGTATTTTTCTTAATTTTTGACATGCACATGTGCAATAGACAATTGCTTACTCAAATTATTATTTATTGTGAAAATTTTGACAGTCTTATCTATTAGAGTGTTATGAAATAAAATTGATACTTTATGGTACAATGTGAAAAATTTTATAGTTAAGGGTACAAAGTAAAACAAATGTTATAGTTCAAGGGGATAAAATATAATTTACCCTATATTTTTTTGGTTAATCACAAATTTCACCCCAAAAAATTTCTTGAGTCTCAATTTGTATCCTCAAAGATCAAAAATCTCAATTTACACCTTTAAGTGTATGAATTTGTATCTAAAGTTAACAACCGTCAATTTGTCATCTAAAACTACATAGGTAAATTTCACTTAGACCCTCTCATGTTCGATCACTTGATCCCCTCACATTTAGAAAACCTACACCCATTGACATTTGTGCATGTGTATTACATAACCTTTTATTGTCAAATATCCGTTAATATAATCGTAAAAAAATATGATGTCATGCTAATAAACAACTACAATTTTTATACTACCTTTTATTTTGTGAGTCCGTTGTACTCTAAAATTCAAAAAAATTACAAATTTTTAAAGTTAAATTACAACTTGTAAAGGACCTGATCGATCGTAGAAGGTTGCCATCGATATCGAAATTTACAATTTTCAAAGTTAAGTTACAATTTTTGAAGATCCAATTATAACTGATAAAGTAGAAGTTATAACTACTTAAGAAAAGTTGATAATTGATCATGAGTACCTATAATCGATCATGCCGTTCTTTTGAACAATTACAACTTTTCCTTTTAAATGTTAAATTTTACCATAAAAAAATATAATTTTTGGGACAATACTAAAATATTTTTTTTGGTCCGTAGACTTTCCCCGTTTACTAACATAATTCATTACAATAATTTAAGTAATTGTAAATTCCAATAAATACTAAAGTTCACTGTTAATCTAATGATTAGGGTACTCAAATAAGCCATCAAGTTTTAGTTCATAGGTAATTTAATAAGATCTTTGGAGGTAAAAAAAAACCAAAATGCAATTGAACTACAAATGATTGAAGATAAAGACGCAAGGACATTGTCCCTAACAAACTACTGCCATTGTAGAATTAAGAAAGTGTTAAATATATACAATTTTATCACGCTTGTGGAAAAATTATTTTTCATAACTTGAACTCATGACGACAAAGCCAAAAATAATCCAACCATTGCACCAAAATCCTACCCAAATAATTATTCTATTTTGGAAATGAACGCAATCACTAGAGCAAACTTTTGCAAAACAAAGCCAACAGAAATCAAAAGAAAGAACTAGACGAGATAAAATTGAGAAAAAAACAAGGAAAGAAAGAGAAATTACCAACAGATTTATAGAAGCTAAACCCTTGTGTGCTTACACATACAAAACAAAGGCATTTTCAATTAACTACAGGATACATCATTCAATCATGAAGCTATCACGGAACGAGCACTGTTTCGTCCAAGGCCAAGACCCAACCCTAAAGGAACAGAATCGGTTTTGCCGCTGTTACCATGGCTACAATGAGAAGAATGGATGTGACCATAATGGGTTTGTGCGTTCTTATCCACATTAATAGCTACATGGCCATTTCCATTGGTTTGATGAGAATGACCAACCCCATTTTGCAGATTTGAATTCCTAGACATATGCACCATTCCAATCCCTTCAGTTTGAGCTGATTCTTCGTTGTACTCCACATCTTCATTGTAACCATTTATCAAGAAATCCGAACAATTCTTCTTCAACCCATGGTCATATGGGTTCCTGAACCGGCCTCCTGGTCCTTTAAGGTAGCTATAGCGCATAACATTTGCCATTTCATTGGTTGTAATATTCCGAGATATCTGAAGCAACAAAAATGGGTATCCATGTAAGAAAAATAACATTTCAATTGCCTTCCTGTTTAACCTAACAAGCTATGGATTCAGATGCAGGACGGTAGTTACCAACATCTTCATGTCTTTAGGAATCAAACATATTCTATGAGGCATATCCATTATCATAGTATGAAGCATTCATTATAGGCATTAATCATTAGTGATTGCATGGAGCAGTTTCTGAAAGCCGTGACATAAATAAGACGTGGACAATTGGTCAACAACTTGAGGAGTCACCTCTAAATGGTTTTCCTACATATTAGGAATTGATCGAAACTTTATTCAAGTGAGCATCAATTTTGAGCTACAAAATACGATAGTCAACCCACTTCTAGAGTGTCCTGGACCTGTTTCAGCCTTACAACTAAACATATTACAGGTTGTGTTTCTCTCCAATATGATGAAAAAAATTGAGAAAAACTTCGAATGTGCAAAACCTAGTTTTCAAATGTTTAAACATGATTGCAAGCATTCCTTTCTAAAAACATATGTGAAAACTTCTCGAGATTCCCTCCAAGTGTATCAGAAATAATTCCCTAAATTGGTTCACCAAAAGCATCATGCAAAATGAACTCTAAAGCAACATTTTCTGTCACATTTTTAAGTATCGGATTATTGATTAGCATGGATAGTTGCACCTACAATTTCAGCTGTAAGATCTCATGTTGATGACACCATATTATGCATGCTGCATGCATGGAGAAAAACAAATGTGCTTCCAATAACTAGTTGGAAATCTTATTATGAGTGCAACAAGAAAGATAAAAAACAACTACGAACATACCTGAGAAGCTTGTACAACAGTTAAGACGGCCACACCAGAGAAGAGGAAAAAATCAGAAATGACAAATGATATAGCACCAAGATGCTGACTACCAGCATGGTTCAACCATGCTCCAAAAGATGAAGGAGCCATTGGATCAGTCAAAACTCCTGCATTGTTAACAGATTTCAGCAAATGAAGCCATCATAACAAAAAGGAGGATATACAATAAGTGACTTATTATTGGGTTAACAATGTTGACATTTTTGACTTTTTTTTATACTTCCAAAAACTTACTTGTAAGAGCCACTGCACCAGTTACTATCATTGCAAAAACTTCTAGAACAAGAAACAAAAAGAAATCCCATTTGTTCTTCTGTATCAGAAAGACGCAAAAGAATCAGTCAAAAAAAAAAAAAAGTGAAAGCAAAATACAACACATACAGACTGGGAAAAAAAATCAACAACAATTATAAGAAAAGCAGCAAATTCAGTACATGATTATGAAACCCTATCTTACTATACATAGATAAACAAGTTGTGAAAGAGCATTAAATCACTAAGCAGAAATATCTCGCTATATATCTACTGAAGGAGCCGATACTCACTGATGAACAATATCCTCACTTGATTCTCTCTCCAGAAATATACACACAAATTCATGTATATTTGGATTGATCTTTGCACATATGTATGAAAAAAAATGTTCATTTTGAAGCAATTCTGCATGTGAATATGAAAGTTGCAGGCAAAGCAATAAAAGGATGCCTAAGATCATTTGATCTGGCCATATACTCCTTGTTGCCCACATGGCAATATTCTGATTTTACTATCCCTTTAGGATTCAAGTGATAAGTGAAAAATCAAGTAAGGCATTCATCAGTGTCAACAGACCTTGCCAATGCAATTAGATACCCAAGGGCAATGATGATCAAACTGTTCAACACAACGATCACAGGTCGAACAATGCTTTGCACGAACGGGTCGGACAATCTAACAAAAATCAAATCAAATAACATTAGAAAGCAAGCAATACAAAAATGTGTTGAATTAGTAGTACATAGAGGTTAAAGTATCAAGAGAACACAGCACCTTGCATGTCGCGCAGAGCTGAGACCAATTACCAGCAAGCAAGGCAGGATTATTTATCTCAATCTTCAACAAAGGTTCCTGGTAAAAAAATAATAAAGTAAAAACTTTTAAAAACATTTGAAACGTATGTGTCTGAGTATATAAAAGCACCCCTATAACCCACTTAAAAAGAGTATAAAGTATGACAAACGACGATGAAGGAAAAAGGCAAGATTCTTTGAGGAACAAAAAAACCAAACCATAAATATAATTTTAGGCAAGAATAAGCAATTGCAGGAAATAAGTTATATAAAACAGCAAAAACTTACATCATCTTTCATATTTTGTGGATCATGCACATTCATTCTGATGTAACCTGGATCTTTGCTACAAACAAAAATGTCAAGCAAAACTCTAATCAGACAATTCACACAAGCTCGGTGTACAAGAAATAAGCAAGTAAAAGTCCTTCTATGATCGCTGTCACACTGTTGTCAAGTAAGTTTTTTTACATATCTGCCTTTAAGAGAAATTAGTCAAGCAACACAACGATGCAATCTGCAAGCACACACCATTCATTTCAGAAAAGTATATCTTCTAAATAGCATAGTTTGGGTCCTTCTGAAAAAAACAAAACAAAAATTACAGTTGACTCTACACAAAGCTAACTGCTAGTGTTCAGAGTGAAGTGCTTTATTGGGAGAAAAAAAAAATAGATTGCCAGGTGACAACTCAAATGGAAGCATAAGAGGAGACAAAAGAAAACAAGGTTGTGTGGGCAGAAAAACCACGAGAGCTTGCGTGAAAAGTAACAGATTTCAACTAGGGTTCTTTTTTCCCAGTAAGTGTCCAGCTACCAGAGTTGGGCAACATATTTACACTATCTTTCTTGAGATGGGACCAACTAGAAAATACCACCTAATTGTCCACATAAGTTGGGTGACAGCAGGAAACAGTAAACACCAGACAATAAAGTTCAACAAAAATGAGAACTGATCAACAAAAAAAATGAAAAAACAACCAAAAATGAGACAGCATATCTCAATAATATGAATGACAATAAACCACTATTGGCATTAGAACCACCAAAACCAAGGTCACATATCTTTAAGAAATTAAGCAAGTCCTATGTAGTTGTCAAAAAAAATCATCTCCTTGACATATTAGGGCAGCTCAGTGAACAAGTCTCCCACCAGTGTAGGATCTCCTTGACATATTGAGAATCCAAAATTTCAATACACAACTAAATACATAAAGGCAACGCAATTATTTTAGTAACGAGAAATCTTTTAACCATGCTTATTTTGGACTCCTGACTGCAACATAATAATATAATACAAAATATCCATATTGGAATACTCTTCTAGATACTATTCTCATCGAATACTCGAGGATACTATTGAATACGCACCATACATACCTAATAATTAACGAAATAACTTTGTTTCAGTATCTCTCTTGGATATGGATATCCATGATGAATATGCTTTGAATATGGAAGAGGAAAAGCTAAGCAACCAATTTTAGTTTTAATCTTTACCTTTTCCACTTGAATTCACATCCAATGATATACACACTGAAAAAAAAAATTCTATAAGCCTTTAAAGATATGTGGGTGTTTATTAAGAATTCTCTACTACCACATATTAAAATAACTTAAAAGGGTTAACTACACCCGATCTCTTGGCAACAAGTACTTCTATACAAACCATTGAGTGAAATGTCAATCTTGATTCCTTTAGTTAGCCACAATCAATTATATGACCATAATGAGATGATCTATGCTTCTTTAAAAGTAAAAGTTACGTATTTTTTGTATTATTACTATAAGCATTTACTGAAAATCACAATTATCAAATAGTCAAATAATATTACAAAATAATTATATTATTATAGTCATAACTTGATGGTATCTGCATTCTATTATTTTCAGTTTTGCAGTAGCCTTGTGTCCATATTGTACCTTACCCGTATTTTATATCTATATCCGTGTTTTGTAGGCTACAAACAAAAACCACAAATGCATGCAATTAGTCACAAACCATACACATTGGCTAACCCCGGATTTTCAAAGGTCAGGAGGGACTCAAGATGTACAGATTTTTGCCCACCCACTTTGTTCAACCACTAAAGTAGTTTTCGCCTTCGAAACAGAAAAAAATTACATTGCTTACCAACTTAAGCCCGCCTAAAAATAAACAGTATTATCATGTTATATTACAAGTTTGTAAGTTCATTATTCAACTTCATAAAGAAGTAAACTTTTAGCAATAATCAGATCCAGCACAAAATGTCATAGCCATGTCGTCATTCATGGTACCACCACTTAAAGGATTAAAAATCAATGTCGATAACCAACTTTGGTGGATTATTGCAGTGATACTAAAATTCAAGCATATAAAAAGGTTATCCTAAGTCCAATAGGCAAAGGTCTGCAGAGCATACCAGCTACACCTATAAAACATAGCCAATCCAGAAGTTGCTAGGAGAACACCCAACCATGCAAAAAGGCCAAAGCCAGCAGTTAACTTTGGCAGATTCGGAGCTGCAGCCAAAGAGAAAACATACAATTTCAAGTATGAAGCCTTGCCCTAGAAAAAGCTTAATTTAAGATTGAATGCAAAGATAAGGGCAGATACCCATGATGACTGAATGAATGTATGTCACAAGTAGCAGGAAAATTATAAACCAAAGTATTGGTGCAAGTCCTAATTTTGAAAGTTGCCCAAGGCGACTGTTCCCATCACAACGTTTGTCAAGCAACCTCCGTGCATTTCCCTGCAGAATCAGATTTGTCAAATATAAAAAACACATAAAACATCAAGGATGATGGGTCCAAGCAAATTCTACAACCACCAGAACGATTAAAATTTCAAAAAAAAAAATGAATAGAAATATGACAAGCAAAATTATGCCATCAAAAGTAGGAAGTATTATAACAAAATGAATTCCTGCAAACAACATAACTTAATAACCAATCTTAAAAAAAAAACATAGGTACCAAAAGTATTGAATCCAAAGCATACACATATTAACAAGAAAAGTAGATCAATCATGACTCACTAATCCACCAATTGTTAGATCAGTGACAAAGACAACTGGATGATCCTCATGCAGGAAGACTCAGAAATTTCCCACAGGGAATCCCAAGGACATTATGAAAGTCCTTCATATATCCACGTGTAGTCACTAAAATGTTCAAAATGCATAACAATAATATTATTGTATCTGGTGATGGCTAGAAGAAACGCTGCAACTTTCCACTAAGAATATTATTCACAGAAAAACAAAGGAAGGTTATGAAATCTATATATCCTAAACTGAACTCAAATATATACAGAATACCACGGTATTGAAGGCCAAATGTTCATCTATCTGCATAAGATTAACATGTGTACTTGCAAATTCAATAATATCAATACATAAAATGCATAACCAATTGGTCACCGCTGTACAGAGAAGTGACTTAAGAGCACCAACACCACAAGATAGCAACACACCCAATCCCTAAATTGTTGGGAGGACAACAAATTACAATCATCTGTAGAATGAATGCAAGACAACCTCCTAAAACATAGGAAAGCAAAAACACAGTAAGTAGAGGAACTTTCGCAATGTACAATGAAATCCGGATCTTACATTGGCATGTGCAATTTTCACAGAATTACCAATTGTTACAATGATGCTAGTTGCACTTAATTTGAGGACCAAGTACACTAGATAAATTGTGAATTTTATTTAAAGTTAGTATTCATTATTAATTCAATGATTAAAATATATTGAGTATTTAAATTATATTGTAAAATTTTAATTATATATCATTGTTTATTTTATTTTGGAGCCCCAATTTTTCTTCCAAATTGGGGCCTAGGCAATGCCTAAGTGGCCTAAAGGTTGGGCTGGCACTGATTAACAAAAGCATCAGAAAAAGTGGTGTTAAAAAGTATTTTTACAGTACACTAGTGTGTCATTATTGGTAGCTTGACCCGAATTGATACGAAATACCTCCCATCCTAGCACATGAACATTGTGAGCCTCTCCACTTATTGCCGATTGTTTTAAGTTGAATGCTTTACCATAGTATCAAAGTTAAGCTTGAGAAGTACTTGGGCAAGACACAATCTCATCAATTTAGTAATTGCTTCATTCTTTGTTCATGCCATAGTTGCACTTCTCATGCCTTTGAATTTGTCATGTAAATGTTCTGTTTATCTCTCCACATGCATGTGGGGATCACACGTGGGAGGAGTGCAAGAGATTCTCCCGCATGTATAAAAAAAACCCTTCCCAACCAACTAGTATATGAGCCTTTTAGATCTCTCCACTCATTGTCAATTGGTTTTAAGTCACTCACTTCAACAAATATGATATTTCCATTCATTCTATGTCACATATTAAAACAAGGCCAAAAAAACTTTGCTTAGTAAGAAATTTGAAGTTCTATAAGAGGGTAACCTCATGCTAAAAGCGTGACTAAAATACTTCCACAAGCAAGACAGATACTTAGAAGTAATAAGGTATACATACAAGGAAAAAAGCAACTTGTCTGTGATTTTTATCCGAAGCAAGCTGTGCTGGTGTAAGGCCAGTGTTGTCAGTCACCATCAGATCTTCTTTCTTCCCAGCCTGCACCAACACTGTGCATGCTTCTAAGTTCCCCCGAATAGCAGCCCAATGGAGAGGGGTACAACCTAAAATATATAAGGGAAGCAATTGAAAAAGATATTTTTTATCAGCCAAGGTAGTCCTTTAAATAAGTGTCAGCTGCTTCTATTAAGTGCAACCATGTAAAATTTCAAAACAGCCAGAGAAACTTTAAGACAAAGCATGAAAGTGTAC